ATGTCTATAATTTTTACTTAATCGCGTGTTTGAGAGAATTTATATATATGTGGAGTTTGAATTAAACATGAATGAATGTTGTACAGGTAAAACTCTCCTGGCGAAGGCCATTGCCAATGAGTGCCAGGCCAACTTCATCTCTGTGAAGGGGCCGGAGCTGCTCACTATGTGGTTCGGTGAATCTGAGGCCAACGTGCGAGACATCTTCGACAAGGTAAACATAAAAAAATATTAAATCTCCATAACCTGCATTGTATTGTTTATAAGACATGTTATATTATTTTATGTATGTATATTTTGTCTGTAGGCCCGGTCGGCGTCCCCGTGTGTGTTGTTCTTTGACGAGCTGGATTCCATCGCGAAGTCCCGCGGTGGCTCTGTGTCAGACGCAGGTGGCGCCGCAGACCGAGTCATCAACCAGATCCTCACCGAGATGGACGGCATGGGTGCCAAGAAGAACGTCTTTATCATCGGTACTTATAAGTTCATTTTAGATGGGATCTTTGTAAAAAAATTATGTTTTGATTGATGTGTGATTTTGCAGTTTGAAATAAATATAACTAATGTGTTGTCCAGGCGCGACCAATCGTCCGGACATAATCGACCCGGCTATTCTGCGACCGGGCCGTCTCGATCAGCTGATCTACATCCCGCTGCCGGACGAGAAGTCGCGCGAGGCCATCCTGCGCTCCAACCTGCGCAAGTCGCCCATCGCCAAGGACGTCGACCTCTCCTACATCGCTAAGGTGAGCACTGTCTGTCGTGAGAAGGAAAATATTACCTATTTAATGTCACTACGTTATACAAATATTTTGGCGGCTCTATGCAGGGCGGTGCAGTGCGTCAATGACCTAGAGCTGCCAATATATTTGAAAGGAAATATACCACCGATTACATGTTGTATAATATTAATGTGTTGTGCAGGTGACCCAAGGGTTCAGCGGTGCGGATCTGACGGAGGTGTGCCAGCGCGCGTGCAAGCTGGCCATCCGGCAAGCCATCGAGGCGGAGATCCAGCGCGAGCGCACTCGCCAGCAGCAAACACCTGCCGCCGTCATGGATGTCAGTACCTACTTGCTCTGATCTCTATTCACTAACTCCACACACTTTTGATGCTTAACTTTCTATGAGATCGAAGGCTGACATTTCGTGATTGGGTTTTGCAGACTATTAATGTGTTTTGATGTAGATGGATGAGGAGGACCCGGTGCCGGAGATCAGCCGCGCCCACTTCGAGGAGGCGATGAAGTTTGCGCGGCGCTCAGTCTCCGACAACGACATCCGCAAGTACGAGATGTTCGCGCAGACGCTGCAGCAGAGTCGCGGCTTCGGCACCAACTTCAGGTAACGTACCCATATCCATCTAAAGCGGTTTTTTCTGATATGATGATCCTGTGCAGATGAGATTTGGCACAGATGTAAGACTATAGTTTGAAAGATTACATAGACTAACTTCTAAGTTTAATTTCAAAATGCAGACGGAGTCGCAGGCGACAGCTAGTGTTAAATATTGTGTGTTGTTCAGATTCCCGACGAGCGGTGGCGCGGCGGGCGGCACGGGCACGTCGGGCGGCGACCAGCCCACGTTCCAGGACGAGGCGGGCGACGACGACCTGTACAGCTAAGCGGCTCGCGGCGGACACGGCGGCGCCCTCTGCCGCGCATAGCTTTACATCTACTTAAGAATTATCGGTTCAGTGATGTTTGTGTGGGTAGCGGGCTTTCGAACACAATCCTCCCTCAATCATTTCACCTTCTCAATTAACAATAACGATTTAGTAAAATTTTAAAGTATTTTTTTTATTGTATCAAAATTTTGTTTGATGTGAATTGTATAATGTTGTAGCACCGAAAGCCCCCGTATGGGATTCAGAATGTGTATGCACGTGTTACTTCCGGCGCGTCACTCGTTTCATTGGTATATGCGAATGTATTTATTGAATAGTATCGGTTTAGTTCGGGTCCGCTTCAGTTTGCGCGCCGACCGTCGTTGTTACCGGTGTCTGATCGTAAGTAGGATACGTCGCTCTGCCGACATGTGTAACGCAGTGATTTTAAATAAATAAAAAGATTTTTATAGTCTACATTTTGGTTTTATTTTTATTGTGTAACCCTAACTACAATTTTGATATTGAATCATTAATGGGCCTTAATATTTGAGGTTTATATTACAATAGTCCCTAACAAATGACCATAGACTATTAAGGCTATCTGATCCTGTTGGCATAAATCAAACTAAAAAAAAGAGAGCGCACTAGCGCCCCCCTTTCAATGTCAAATGTCGAGTACCGCTTTGTACTTAAATATACCATTTTAAGATTTACTGCTCTATGTCCGATGGGCATTTTTGTTTTTTAAATATCTCCTTTAATTCTGGCGATTCTTTCATTAAATTGCTCAAAGAAAGCGCTCGGCTCTTTACGAAAGATTCGACAGGTTGAATCAGGTAGTCCGACGGAAGAGAGCCGTCTATATTGAAACCCTTTTCTGGTTCCGTATAAATTTCAACGGCTTTCATTATATGATTTAAGATAGCTCTTGCTTGTTTTGCATCGAAGCAAGAGCATAAATATTCAAATTCTACGTCAGAATACTGCGTTTCGACATCTCTCGTAGTAGGTTCTGGAATTTTTGGAATTGCGACTGGTTTAGTTTTCCCTTTTGCTCTTTCAACAATTCTTTTTAAGGTTCTCACAGAGCAAGGCTCGTAATTTGGCAAATCCGGATAATCGAATGTGGACATGTTTCTCATGTAAGCCGGCAAATGCTCTTGGAGAGTCTTTTTTGCAATTTTAGCGCATTGACATGTTTTAGGTTTCATAAATTTAAAATAGCTCTCCCATTTAGGTTCGCGAATGTGCACTAATTCTTTATCTTTCGGTAACTCTTTTTGAACCGAGACTAGCTTCGGTTCCTCGATCTGTTCAGTTTTCGTTTCATCAATAAATGGAATCGGTTGCAGAGAATGGTGACAAAAACAATGTGGTAAACTACACGGACAGAGACATTCAGTTCGTACATTTTTTGTATTCGGCATTTCTTTTTGTAGTATTTGCATTACAGAACTCTGTTCCTTCAATTCTAACAGTTGTTCAGATGGTCTATATTGTACGGGTACGTCATAAGTATAGTCATGGCTGTCCGTTAGGTCAGGCTCTTTTGTACTTTCAATATCAAAAAAATGTTCCATTTTATCGGCAAAATCTTGTAAATTATCACAAGCTGCATAAATACATGTCTTGTTTATAACTACGACGGGTAAATGAGAAGAGCTGGAACGGTAAGGTTTTGGACAAATGTCTCTATCGAGCGACACTTTAGAGCCGTCATCGCCAAAAATATAAAAGGGCCGTAGTTCAGGTACGGGCGTGTGGAATTCTTCTTTTTCCGGCACAAACAGACTCTCCGCCGTCGGGTTCTCAAGTATTTCACTTATCTGTAATAACATAAGTTTCTCTATATTTAATAGAAAGTCTGCTTGTTCTGGCAACGTATGTAACGAGTAACTAATAAACTCATGAAACTTTTTAACCACATGGAACACTTTCTCTCTCCATATTTGTTGGAATCTTTCCCGCCTTTCCTCCTTTTCTATTTCTATTTTAATTTCAACATCTTTTCTGGCGACTTCCTTAGTTAGAAGTTTGAGGATTTTATTATGTTCATATGTGGCTTGACTTAGTAGTTTTTCATTTTCTTGTTTTTCTTTCATAGCGACGTAAATCTGACAAGCGAGGTTTTGACATTCCAGCAATTGTCGGAGTTTCTCTATAGTGATATGCTTTTCAATATTTATATCGTGGACTTTGTTACCTAACTCCGTGCGCGATTGCTCCACTTTTGAGATGAATTGTTCTTTTAATTCACATTTCTTTTTTTCTAGCTTCTTTGTGTAACGGTCATAAAGCATAGTTGCCTGTTGTTTTAACAAAGTCTTGTAATGATTCGACATCTTTGTAAACGCTTCCTCTTTAACGCGTTCTATTTCAGCGATGGCAGAATTTAACAGCAAACTTTCGATTTTATTAATTGAAGTAGTATACAAAATTGTAAATTCATGAAATGCGTCCCTTATTTTATCTGAATTTTTCTGAGCCGCTTTCTTTGAAAGTTCTTCAGTTTGTTGTCTACATAATTCTTCGATGCTCTTTTTCCATTGTCTGTCACTCTCCATCAAAGCTCTCTGTTTTTCTTCTTCCAGTCTTTTAAAATGATATTGCAGTATAATTTCTCCGTAATATTCCAGTCCACTGAAGCCTAGTTTTGAGAGAAATTCCTTTTTCAACGGCTTGAGTACAGTTCTTCCCTTTAGAAGATCTTCAGGAGGTGCATACCAATCGTAGCCTCCCCCTTTTAGGACCGGTTCTAAGCCCGCTAGTACCTTGTGTTTGTGTGTCATAGATTTGAAGTACACTTTCGCCAGCGACGGTGTCATCGTTTTCTTTATAACACTCTGTGTAGGCACTTGATTTGACTCGAGGTAGCATTTTCTTAAGTAATAATTATCGCTAAGTCTGTCCATTGTAAAAATTAATAAAAATTCAAACAAAATTGTAATAAAAAATTTAAATTATCACGAATGACGTCTTTTTAATTTAATTGATATCTGTCAGTTGTGTTTTTCTACAAATAATTTTATAAAGACAATATTTATTGCAGCGAGTTTTTATTATAAATTCGATTTTAGAATCACACTATAGAGGTTATCCGGGCCCACTGGAAATGCGTTGCTATCACGATTCGTTCTGTCAGAAAAAATGTAAAATCTAAATTGGCATGGAATTTCAGCGAGATGCGTTAAACCGTTCTGGAGATATGTAGTAACAAACATCCAAACATTCTCATTCATAAAATTAATAAATAGTAAGATTTAAAAATTACTTTATATACTTAAAATTAATATTAAACAATTTAATTTGGATTTTTCTAATTACAAAAAAAGGTGTAAATAATACTTGATAATATTTAATATAACTTTGATTTATTAAAAAACTATTTAATTTATCAAAAAATTTACATTATCTGCTTATAAATATTAAAATTTCAGTCATAATTAACTATGTAACTTCGCTTACTGCCATTTGTTGCAGCAAGTTCATGACGTGGCAGATTCTTTCCTTTATCTCCGTGGCGGATCTGTGCGGTAACAATTCCCTTATTCGTCCAAACACTTGCTCAGATCCAGCCTCCCCTTTTAGAACTTGCAACATAGTCTTATCTTCATCTCTGGTCCAACTTTTTGGTTCCAATTTAATTGGTGCCGTGCTTTGTGTGTTGTGCGTTGTAGTTTTGACTTCATCTCTTGATAAAGTTTTACTTTCTAATTTAATTGTCGCCGTGTCCATTTTTACTTTAGGCAAAATAGACTTATCTTCATCTCTTATTAAACTTTTTGTTTCGTATTTTACAGTTGGTACTTCTATTTTTGCTTGTTTCATTTTAACTGTCTCATCTTTCTTTGGACACGTTTTTACATCTACCTTCTCTTTTTTGTCTCTTTTACTCTCTTTTATTTCTACATCTTTTTTCTCTTTCGTGATTTTATTCTTTGCGACACCTTTACCTTTAACTGATTTATTCAAAGTAACAGTACAATCTTTATGTTTCGTATTATCGTTCACATCTTTGATATTTTTTGTAGGTGATTTTAGTTGCTTTTTAGGTCTTTTTGTTGGAATTTTACATGTACTTTTGCTGTTTCTTTTCGGAGAGGACCTTTCATCGTCAGACTCTGGTGGCGAGAGATGACAATGAGCTGGTGCGAGACGTCTCGCGTGCACTCTATAAGGTTCTTTGCTGTATGGATACGTAACAGAGGCAGGCCGTAACATTCTACCGTGTTGCAGGAATACTCTCTCTTGAATATACTAAAAATAAAAGAGATAATTTCATAATTATGTTACAGCTAAACTCTATACATGGACAGGCTAAAAACGGTGGTATTTTGTGCTTTTTGATTCCCGCCATTTTAGCGCTGAAGGTTGCGTTTGATATGCTGATGATAATTCGAACTATTCATAGAGATTGAATTATCTGCCAAGAACTTCGAAAAACACATTGAAATGAGAACGACGAAGAAAAAGCTGTAATTTTCAAGCAATGATCAATCCAATTATAAAGATCAGATTTATTAGTCCACAATTTTATAGTTGGCTGGGGTTTATCCTAGAAAATATTAAATTCATAGTCTATCTATCCAGTTCTAAATAACAACTTACCACTGTGTCTAAATTCTGTTTTGCCTCCAATTTTCTCTTGCTGTCATTTTCATCTTCAAACTCCCAAATATCATATTCCTTATCTTCAGTTAGAAACTTTTCATCCAATGCCGCTGTGTTGTTCTCATATACACTATTGGGGAGAAATTAAAACTATTAATTCTTAATTCATGGATTGCCAAGGTTCTTCTGCAAGCTGGGTAGTCTGGAGTACCCCTTATTTTGCCTTCACGCAAAATATATGGACACTATACTTCTACTAATTACTATTAAGCCTTTACTACTACTGTTACTTCTACTAGGGAATATTTTTTACCAAAAACATAGTATTGTTCATTTTAGTAACACATAAATACTGATTGTCACAACATATCTATTCTAGAAAATACACTACCAAAGGCTAAAAAAAAACGGTTACGGTTTTACTAAACAAAAGCAAGTAAATTTGTGTCATGTAAAATAACATACCTATCTGGTGGCCTTTCATCGGGAAAGAGTGATTTAAACATCTGTATTAACCGTGGATGTGAACGTAGATGTGGTAGGATACGAGCTTTCATACTTTCACTGGTACCACAGTTAACACCGTTTGTCATTTCACGTAAAATTTTACGAAGCACTGTAGGTTTTCTGGATAAAGTTATCTAGAACAAAAGATTGTGCATCTTGTCTCAGAACATGATAATTATTCTTTAAAAACATGAAATTAACCATGATAATGCCAGATTATTTTTATTAAATTAAAATATAAATTTCACATAATTTTTTAATATAATTTTTAGACATTCCACCATGTTGAATAAGTTTATGCAAATAATATTTACTAAACACACATTTGTACTAATAAAAATGCATATGAAAACAAAATTCAGACCATTTTTAAGTGTATTTTTCAGAGAATATAATAAGATGGAAAAGAATTTATACTTACCCGTAATTCATTTATAAAATTAGTCATTTGTACTATCATAAAATGATCCATGAATCGACCAACTTCAGCTGCCTGTCCTGGCTTTAAAAATAATAAAAACTCTTCTACAACATCCTTGTGTTCATCACCAAATAACTGTTCTACTTGTCTGTACAAATCAACTGGAGTCTCTTTCCTTGGGTCAAATTGTTTCAAAAGTTCTTGGAATTTTTGAAAGTTGTTTGCAGATGAAGAGTTTGAAGTAAATCTTAACTGCACTTTTCTGTAATATGATCTTACTAGAGCTAAAAATACAAAAGTAGGTCAAGGAAAAATTGTTATCATAGTATCAGTTTACACTATTTAAATACTTGTACAAAAACTTGTTATCTTGAGAGTTTTTTTTCATAAAAAACTAGGGGGATGATATATGTTTTACTGTGAATGCTTCCACAATGTAGCCTTATGGTTATAAATAGACGAGATGTTTTGGAGACAAAATTATGTAGATAATTTTAACACAATGGTTACTATTACAATAATAACAAAACAGATATAGATAAGACTTTACACGTATTATTTTATTATAGTTTAAGAGTGAAGGTTTTCAATTGAATATGAAATACATATGGTTAATATCTTATACCTGATTCCAATGCATTTTTATCTAATTTTGGTGGCTCATTCTTTTTGCTGCTGGTAGTTTCTTTTGTTTCTGTATCTTTATTTATTGACTTTGTAACTTTATGTCCAATTTTTTGTACAGGTTCCTAAAAATATTAAAGATTAGTTAATTGTAAACAAGGCAATAGTGTAACTAAAGTAAGATGATGTTTTTCAATAATGTACAAGTGCATAGCATAGTTATTCTTTAAAATAACGAAAAGTTCTTCTTCTAGAAGGAATCTCTATAACAAATCTTAACATACACGATATAAATGAAAAGTAGTACAGTTATATAAAATAACAAACACTCTGACTCACTTCTGGAATAATGGCGGTTTTCGAGACAGAACTTTGATTAAAAAAACAATTGCTCGGTTCGATTTTATTGCCAAATCCATCTCGACTTTCCCTCGTAAACAATATTGGCATAGAAGGCAGCATCTAAATTCTTGGAGCTTCTCTTTTAACTCTATATTTAACACTTAACAACACTGTCGTCCACCTATTCACGACTTAATGCTATTTTTTTATCAAATAAAACATATTCTTATCAATTCTAAACGTTGAAAAAAACATAATAAAATTCTAAAATAATGTCACTTAAACGCATAATTTAAAATATCTATCTATAAAACATAAACACAAGTTAAAATTATAGAAATAATGGTATATTTTTGTTTGACACTGCTACGACGCGAAAGGAGCAAGAGCGCGGGCACGTTTCATTTTATGAACAAAGTAAAAAAAATTAAGGCACAAAATTAACCCACTTTTACATTAATTAAAGTCATAATTAAATACTTAAACACACTAATAATTAAAGCATAAGAGAATAAATTACTTAAATCTTTTAATAACACGAATAAAAAATTATTAAATTTAATGAAAGTTTTGAGTTTACTTGACTTTAATCAATGGCGGAGCAGCGCGTAAGTTTAAAACTTTCAAATAATATTTCAAGTTTGGTAATATTTATATGTATACCATACATCTATGATAAATTTATTATTATTTAGTAATATTTCGAATATCCAGAATTATTGAATAGATATTAAATTTGTATATCTAGATAGTTTAGTTTAGACATTTTTATGATCATGAATGGAGCGACTAAACTTTTGATACATCCACTTTCCACTATCATTTTTTTCACAAAATTTCAAAAAGGTTATGTACTCGAGAGTTAAAAGAATAGGAGAGATCAAGGAGTATGGACTTTCTTTATCAAATTTTCAAGATATTTATTTGTATTAGAGGCGTTAAGAAGTATAGGGGTTAATTTTTCGATACTTATTATTTGAATATCTCAGCTCCTTAATTATTATTAATGTTGTTGTGTCTCAACTCGTTGTCTGGAAACCGCATCGATTTATTTATTACTTGTTGGTGAAACCGAAGCTAATGCACATTCGTTCTCTCTGCGTAATTGTACCTGAATATTAAAACGTAAAAAAATACAAAACCAAAAAATGTTTTACATGCTGTTGGAACGTATAATACAAACTGTTTGTAAGATTTTAAATATTTGTTATTAGTTACAAGAGTTCTTTTAAGTACATTGATATTCGCCTTGACTCTGAAATTTAAAATGGCTTCAATCTTACCTGCGGGAATTACAAATGGGGTGAGTAGTGATTTTTTTTTAACGAAAGCAGTAAATTAAAAAACAAGTTTCTTTTATCCAGCTTTCATGTCTCAAATATAAGAAAAGAAGATAAAAATCTTGATCTAAAGGATGCATCCAGTATCGTATTTGGAATAATAGATACAGACACTTATTTTTTTTTTAGAAAATACTGTAACCTCCTTGGTCGCGCGATAGGTTGATAATGAACATAGGTAAACTTTCGAGAAATAACAAAATGTATGATTAAATTAAATTCAATTGTATGAATGATGTATTTATTGAAGATATCGTTTCAATTGTTCGAAACTGAATTTTACTGACCTTGTTGTCCGGAAGTGCAAATTACAGCATGTTTTATAATACACAGTTCAGTAAGAATCCGACAACGAATTCGAAAGCACGATTTTTTTTTTTAAACCGAGTGATTTTTTTTTAAATTAAGTGATAATGACTGAAGGCAAAGACAAAGAACGTAACGAGGATATTAATATTGTCAATTTAGATGAGATAGATACGAAGCTACAAGATGCTCCCACAGAAGTGTTTGATGATGTAAATAATTTTTCAAATATTTTTTGTGAATTTACATTGAGAATCTGATATTGTAATTATCGTTAGTCACATTTACAATACTGTTTTTATCTACACGAACAGTTAACTTTATTGTGCTTTAGTATATGTACTTACGCACTAAAATATCTGTTTCAATGGTAAAAAATTATTCATAGAGTGTTTATTTTATCTTCATGAAAATTTAATTTAAATAAAAATTCGCTATGTCTGTCTACCCATGTAGGTTGCGAGCGTGAGTACAGTGTAACAAACTATAAAGACCAATATTAAAACAAAATTGTCTTTTCGCTTGGTTTATCGTTAAAAAAAAATTCAGTCGTGCTAGTGAAAAAGGGTTTTAACAGTGACAGTTCGCGGAAAATACTGCACGAAATTTCCTCTGGATCAGTGTAATACCACAACCAAACAGAAGAAAGACGTAAAGTGGAAGTAATTCCTCTTTTGATAAGTATGTGTCCGAAACCAAATTCTAGTTAGTGGCAGATATAATTTATTGTTTTTTTGCAGGTCAAAGGCCTCGACGCGAACCGCTATGCGACGAAGAAGACGGTCGCTCAGGGCATGCTGGACATCGCCCTGCTGACGTCAAACGCGTCACAGCTCAAGTATGTACTGCAAGTCGGGCAGAAACACGAGTTTTATACTCTACTGGTGATACTCATCAGCGTGTCAATAGTCCTACAGGTAAGACAAACATAATTTTCTGTGAACAGCCGTGACACTTGTCACACGTATAGCTGTCTCTGTTTTAGCAAAGAGAATGAGAGAGATAGATTTAATACAATTGCTTCAACTTTCAAAATGCATATTTATAACTTGGCACATTGCTTACATTATTATTGTCTATCTGCCGCACTCTTTAATTGGTCACTAAGGGCAAGTAACAGTGGTAGAACCCGCTTTAAAATCTTCGCACGAATTGGCCCGGCTCGCCCGGTGAAATACCACAACCACACAGAAGACAGGCGTGAAGTGGAAGCAATTCCGCGTTTCGTCTGATGAGTATGCGTCCCGGAGGCCTAATTTAGTCTTCTTTCCCTTCCTACCCTTTTCCTTATAAGGAAAGTATGCGAAATGGTAGTGGACTTTCCGGATGAGAGGATACATGGAAAGGGAAAATATTTTCTCTCTGTGCATCCTTTCCTCCGTCGATTAAAGGTAGGTAACGTATATGCAATTGCGTATGTCTATGGGCAACGGTCACTTCGCTAATTCAGCAATTTCAGGTGGCCGCTCGCTCGTCTGACACCTCTTGATATAATTATTAATAAATGAATAAGTACAATAGCTGTAGCCATCGCGTGTTTGTTAAATAATCGAAATGCATTATATAGTAATTATACATCATTTGCTGTAGGAATATAAAGGTCAACGATTTCTTATAATTTAACATAAAAACGAGTTTAATTTGATAAATCTTGTCTTAAATTAACATGCAATAGTGTAATTGATTTGCGTTTTCACACGTTTTTTTTTGTCGTCAGCGTGAGTTTGTAGTCGCTTGACCTCAATGATTTCTTTATTATTTCATTTTAAATTTGAAGCAAGAATTAAATTAATTTTGCCAACGTAACAGAAGACCGGAGTGAAGTAGAATTATTTATATTTCATGCGTTTGTTTAAAAATTTAGTTGAGGTGAATGGTCTTCGTTTGTGTTCCCTCAACTCTTCCCCTTGAAACTAGAGACTCGTATCTACAAGTCATTTTCACGTTGAGAACATTCTAAGTATTTAAGCTGGAGGATTAGCGAAACTTGCTGGTTTTTCATCATTTATAAAACATAGCTGTTGCCCACGACTCCGTCCGTGCGTATAAAAAAACGTAAAAAGCAGCCTATGTGTTCTTCCAGACTATGTTTTACATCTATGCCAAATTTCAGCGAGATCCGTTGAGCCGTTTTGGAGATGCCTACAAACAAACAAACATCCATACAAACATTCGCGTTTGTAATATTAGTAAGATAGAGAATACAGCGGTGTTTAGGTGGCGATGGGTCTGGTGCTGTTAACCTTGAATCTGCTGCGCGACTGCCGCTTCCAGCAGCCTCGTCACCGCGCCTCCGCTCACACCATCAACTACTTGACAACAGCAACCGCCTTCGTAGTGACCGTGCTCAATGTTCTTGTGTCCGCTTTCGACTCTTCCTTGGCTAGATATTTGGAATTTGATGCTATTTAACAATTTCATTGGAATTGAACGTGTTAGATATAAATAGTAATAGATGTATTACAGTGTTTATTTTTATCGTTTTCTAACTATAGTTAAATCGTTTGGGCTGTTAATAATAATTAATTCCTGTACTACTTGATTGGATAACTTGGTGGAAAGTTTTTAGACACGTTAAGTAAAGAAGGGACTTAACAAATATATTATCATTTTTAGATTTATTTTATAATTTAGTGACGACGACTTTTTTGCATAAAGCATCCCTGTGACTGACTCATAAGTAATTTTATGGATGTTTTTATTTATAAGTTAATATCGATAATCTTTGTTAGTATATTTTATATTGATAGGTTTTTATTTTTGTAGCTGCTCGTTGGGCTGATGTTCGTTGTGATCGGGGGTCTGGACCTTAACGACCACGAAGACCAGCCGTCGGCCATTATCCTTAATGACGTCATCGTTATCTTTATTTTCACAATTTCTGTCCTCAACATTGTGATCTCCGCGTTCGGAATTGAATACTCCAACAATCCTCTAGTGTTAGAACGTTTGAAACTAATTAACAATGAGTATTTGAGAAAATCGAATACCACGAATATATAAAATTAAGTTTTTTTTATTTATTTGGTTTTGTTATATGTTTTCGATTAATGCATATAATTAAATACGTATATATTTTTTACAATGGAAGAACGGAGGTGAAAGGGCATTTTCTAAAGTCTTGTTTTAATACAGGCAATTGCGGGAGTGCTGGCCCTTATAATATCATCTTTGGACGACGAGAATAATCATAAACGAAAGAAGATAGCTGATGGTCTATACCACCTGTCAGTCGGACTGATGACAGGCGTGGTCTTCTGTGACGTCATCAAAATGACGTTCGGATTCGACCCAGCTCTCTCAGAACAAGATTATTATAGGAATAGTTAGAGATTACAACGTGTAATATTTTCAAGCCAAATAAAATAAGGCAGCACCATTTTTTATTAAAATGAACTTTAGATTTGCTTACGATATTTAAGACAATGACAGTTTCGTTTTTTTTCTTTGTATTGGGTTAAATGCCAGTGTGTATTGTTTATGTTTTTTTTCTTTTTAATTTTGTTTTTTTTTTCTTCGTAGGCAGTTTCCGCGGTAGTCGCTGTTGTGCTGAGCCTAATTTTCAATATAAATCATGTTCGAGATCAACAAAAAGCAGAAATATTGAATAATACCAGTCTGATATTTAAAATAATAAGCATCACATTAAACATTATTATAAGCGTTTTCTACTCAATGCATGTTGAAGATAATTCAACAAATTTAAAAGCTTAATTTTTAATAAAAACTGTAAGAGTTTGACTAAATTATTTACCTATTAGGTAGCTTTATTATTATGAAAGGAATAGTCCAATTTTACTCATATTGTGTACTCGTGCATGAAATGTTATGTATGCCATGTTTAATAAACGTTTTTTAACTTTTATGTGTTTTCGTCTTAGAGGAATTACTTCCAGGAGTTATTACTTACAAGTAATTCCTCTAAGGTTGGTAATGCTGAATAATCCTTTCCAAGAAATATTGTAATTCGAGTGAATATTTTTTTGTTAATCAAATCAATCGTAATCTATAATTAAATTATATACTCATAACTATACAGATACTACAGAAAAATTTGATTGTTTGCATTGAATAGGCTCCGTAATTCAATATATTTCAAAAACTCTTTCACTATTTGAATGCTACACTATCTCCTGGTGACATTGGCTATATTTATTACTAGTTTTTTTTTTTATTCCGCGCGTACGAAGCCGCAGACAGATAGAGGTTAGTAATAAAGGTAGCTGCATCTTAATATTAATAATTATTGTAAATTTTAAACTGAAACTATGTGTAATAATTCTATTTCAATTATTGATTTACTCATGTATATCGTACATGCATATTATAATAAAGTAATTTACACCTTATTCAATTGCGTTTTATTTGAAACTTAGCTGTCGCTCGTAACTCCGTTTGCGCGAAATTAAAAAATAAGTTAAATTTAAAAAAAAACTATATTCTATATCTACGCCAAATTTGAGCAAGATCCATGCAGCCGTTCTGGAGATACCTTTTAACAAACATCCATCTTTCCATCCAAACATTTGAATTTACCATTTATAATTTTACCTTTTACAAAGAAACACACAATCTTTTTGAATACCAAAAAATATGCAGTCTTTTATATGGGTTATCAAATAATTGTTTTGAACTACTGAACTGATTACATTAAGCAGCAACAGCAAGAAGTTGACGATTTGGTGGCGATGGTGATGCTATGGTAGCGTAGTTAAAAGTTTATAAGTCCATTCAAAAGCGCGCGTCACTGACGTTAGCCATCAGCTGCCAGCTGTCACTGTCGACTGACGGCTAATTGCAGGGTGGGATTCAGTGTTTTAGTTTCTCCCAAGTTTCTACCTAAATTTTTAATTTTGTTTGAGAGAAAGAGGGGGACTAAAAATCACAGTGCAACAGTAACAAAACACAATATTATAACGTTTTATTATTTGTAAAAACAGAGAACAAAAGACACATACAATGCAAGGATTTCAAAATTCATGAGTTTTTTGCACAATCAAATATGAACAAATATCACCTTTTTAATTTAATTTTGAACTAAGTCCGCTGTATATGTACGTAGGCTTGATTTTAGATCATAATTAAAGTAACAAAAAATTATAAAATATACCGCACCTCAATCACTTCATCCTTATTGTCATTGCATAATTCGGCCCTGCGCACTAGTATTGACCGGTTGGCCATTGGCATTGCCTATAACTGTTGATTGTTCTTATCACGAACTTTTCGCGTATCGCAAGCGAACTATTAACTTCAACGAACTTTAAAACCTTCGTGGTCATATGGTTATTTATGTCATAGAATTTGATAAAAAGTGAGTGTCGAGGTTACCGCAACGACAAACTGAGGCTAACTTTATGCAGTACGTATCGTTCGTGCCCTACTCAATAACTTGATACTTGTTGCTTTGTTTTATTATAACATAGTTAGTAAGTTTTCAAGCGCGACTAAAGTAAGACGTGGCGATGGCGACCAGCAGAATTGTTGTTTACGGAGGCCGCGGTGCTTTGGGTGCTGCATGTGTGAATCATTTTAAACAAGCCAACTGTTGGGTGGCCAGCATCGATTTAAACCCGAACGAGAACGCAGACGTTAACATCACAGTTCCGAAAGACGCCTCGTGGTTGCAGCAAGAGGAGCATGTTGTTAAGGAACTTGGCACGGCGCTGCAAGGTCAGAAAGTGAATGCCGTGATATGTGTAGCCGGTGGTTGGGCCGGTGGAAACGCGGCCAAGGATTTAAGCAAGCAAGCGGATTTAATGTGGCGTCAGTCAGTATGGAGTTCTACCATTGCTGCTTCTCTTGCGGCTACATATTTGACCCCTGGAGGATTGTTGGCGTTGACAGGTGCTAAGGCTGCTTTGGAAGGTACTCCAGGCATGATTGGGTATGGTATGGCCAAGGCTGCAGTACATCAGCTAACAAAGTCACTTGGTAGTAAGGATTCCGGGCTGCCAGAAAATTCCTTAGCAGTAGCTATTATGCCTGTGACATTGGATACAGAAATGAACAGGAAATGGATGTCTAAAGCTGACTTTAGCACCTGGACTCCGCTATCATTTGTAGCTCAGTTATTTGATAAGTGGATTAAAGGAGAGGAACGTCCAGCCAGTGGCAGCTTAGTAGCGCTTGTTACAAAGAATAATATCACAGAATTAATTGTTCAGTAAACAGAGCAAATAATATAGTATGTGCTGTAATAATAAATATTATTTCAAACATCTTGCCTGTGCCACATATTGCACAATTTTATTATATATTAAATGAATATATCTATAGATGTAATTTATTTAATGTTTAACATTATATTTGTCACTTTAATGTGACTTTAAACTGAATTTGTTTGTCACAATTATGTGTTAATAAACTAACCTGCACTTTTAAGACCCTTTGATTGTATGACAAGGGAACAATCTCATTATTTTAAGCAGAAATGTAATTTCTTGTGTTAATAAATGTTGCTTGTAAATGTGATTTGAATAAATGAGTATGTAATGAAATAAATGTTGTTAATTGAAATTTGTTTTTCTTTCATGGTTATTTTAAAAAGCTGATGTGACTGTTTTATTCCAAGTCTTTCATTAGTTTTATCATCATTTTGATGTGTAATTATTATAATTTAGTAACCCATCATCGTCAGGAATATCATTGAGTCTTTATTATATAAATTAAAACATCAATTTTGTTTTCACTTGTCAAATAAATATTTTTTGTAAAGAACCATAATGTTTCTTGTCTTTTTTAATATATTTAACTTTTGCACTTTATTAAAAAAAAAACAAATATTTACATATTCTGGATTGGAATTTGTTTTAGTAGCTTGGAAATACCCATTGATTTTCTGACTACTAAATATCTCAGTCATTTTCCTCTATGTAACAGATGTGTTATGGGGGAATGCCATAGTATTTCTTATGAATAACTAGGTTTTCCCGCGATATCGTTAGGTTTTTAAATTTAAAAAAATATGAGTGGCCTATGCGTTCTTCCAGACTATGTTCTACATTTGCGACAAATTGCATCCAAATCCGATTCATTCTTTTGGACATACAAAATAATAGTCATCCATCCATCAATCTAAAGATTTGCCTTTTTATATCAGTAAGATTCAAAGTACACGTCATGCAGGGTTACAAATCATTACTCCGTTTTTGACAGGAACCCGTGGCTGTTTGTTACGTAGTTTTAGACATTATTAGTTAGAATCCTTTGGTTCGAGTGGCGCGCTTTCACTATAAAGTGAAGTGTCAGAATCATTAGTGAGGGGACATAAACGTCGACATTTTAATAAGGCTAGTGTTGTGCCTAACTTGTATACCCTTACGTTTCCATTTTCTATGAAAAAATTGTGATAACGATATGTTTTTTGTATTTCAATAATAATTTTCTCGACATTGAAACCCAAGGTAAAGGAGGTCCTTCCTTAGGTTAAAGTATGAAGATTGTTTTTTTAACGGACCGTTAATAGAAAAAACTGTCGAGTAATACGAATGACTAGCCAACAATATAGTATTTTAAAATCGTAAGACGTTCTTCGACTACTTTCACAATCGTTCGCATTAGAAAGTAGATCGAGAGTAACTACTTTTTGATTTCTATCAGTTAAAAAAAAAACTTGTTTTGAATAAATTAATTTATCCCAATCAAAAAAGCCACTGTATTATATAATAAAAAAATATTTAACACGAACGTACGAACACATAAATGTATACCAATGTGTGCGCAATCAATCATGACATTAAGGGTCACTTGTTATCTGTCATTTTTGATAAACTTTTGTAAAGAATACCTATTTTATTAATAGTTAATGAAATGCGATAACGTATGTTCATACAAAATACAGCTTGGAGGTCGATGTATTTTTTAATATCCCAAAAGAATATTTTTTGGTTGATTTGAAGTAGAATTGTATTAAATACGGAAATATGTCAAATCAGATTCATGGAAGCAGAAAAATTAAACACAAATATTTGCTTTAAAAATATAATAGGCGCTTACAAACTAAAACACTTATGTGTCAAATACATTACGTAAAAAGCTAAAACATACAACTTAAGACTAAAATCTCTGACAACTTAAATAATTTACTCTTATGATACTCCTTTTTGTATTTTTCCATTTATAATTTCTTTTTGGAGAAGCCTTCAAGTGTGTTGTACTAAAAATTTTTTTTAAAATATACATATTTAAAAGATTTATTCTTGTAATATAAAAATAATGTCAATCGGGATTTCTTTGACTAGACTTTCTAAAGACATTTAATTTATTAACATTTAACAATTTTTACATTTAATGATGAAACATCGAATTGTACATTAATCACGGTTATATTGTATTGACCAGAAAAATATATTCTCGTACTGTAAAATAATAAACATAATATTAGATGTGGAAATTTAAAATTTTGGGATTTTGTTTTGTATATTTGATATTTCTTAAATATAATCAGTATTGGCAAAAGGTTACGATATTTTTTTTCTCTTAATAACAACCATTTTTTCTATACATATAATAATAATATACTATATGCTTCCTTTACAATTAGTAATTTGTGAAACTCTTAATACTATCCTAAATCAGAAAGTCCTAAATGGATTTTAATAGTATTTTAAAAAGCAAACACCCCATATTCACAGCAAAATATTTACTTTTAAATTGACTTTCGAGACAAAACACATTTGTACGAAGGTTTTTTACCATTGTTTGAAAATTGTCGCAACTTAAAGCTACATCTTTCAGTAATATTTTACTTTTCAATAAATTAATTAAAGGCAAGGGCCTGAGTATTTCCTGTTGGGCCGATCGGCCTATTGATCAATAGTCTCAACGGATATTTTTACTATAGATTCAATGGTAAAAAATGCTGCTGGGCCGATTAATCGGTAGGCCCAACGGGAAATTGACGTTCAGCCAAAGTATAGCAAACTAAAAATTAAAAATAAATAGTTATGCTATCAAAATAACAGCCAATAATCCGTTTTTTTTAACAGATTATCATCGGCTTTGGTCGCGTTCAGCCAACGACCGCTCGAACAGTATTCTTCAATATGTCCGCGACGAATTCGGTTGTACGAATAATTTTGTTTCCGATTTGATCGATGAAAGTGATTGCTGTTGTGTAGGCTTCATTGTTGTCAATCGGTCGATATGTGAACACGGTTGGCATTGTGTCAAAACCAACAGCCGCCCAATCCACTGGTGTTGGCCTGGAGAAAAAAAACAGTTGATTATTTTTTTATTATTAATATCATTATAATTTTTGTCGTCTATTGACATACCTACCTATCCTGAGTGAGGCTTGCTACGAATTAGTTTTTTTTAATTTTTAAACAATAAACCACTTAAAATTCAGTGATAACCAAAAGTTGATACAACTTTGAAGGCGAGATATTTTAAATTCTTTGGTTTTAAATAACTATTTTTATTTTAAATATCAAAGAAATCATAAAGCATGTTTTATGAAGCATATTACGATTGTATATAATTTTAGAATCATATTTTTTTACGATTTCCTTAAAGTTATTAAGAAGTCATACATATGAAAAAATTGTCATCACGTTAAGTTCTTGATATGTAATAATTCTTAGGCAATACAATGAGCTATCATTATATTAAACAATTAAACTTGAATTTGCTACAATTACAAGCTGTTAATGCCATTGTTAACTTATAAATGACATTAAAGTGATGTTGCGAACACCTTGACAACCATTTAACTCGCATCTAACCTATTTCACCGTTGGTTTCTGCTGCCAAAATCCTTGTTTATAACATACTAACTGTCGCCCGCGACTCCGTCCGCGTGGACATATAAAAAACTTTTTTTTAAATTAAAAATTAGTGTAGCCTATGTGTTCTTTCAGACTATGTTATATACATATGTCATATTTAATCGAGATCCGTTCAGCCGTTCTAGAGATATCTTTAAACACAAATCCATCCATCCACATTCATCTAAACATTCGCATTTATAATATTAGTAAGTTAAATAAAAAGCAGCTCTTCAAGGCGTAAATTCGAAAAAAAGGAATAAATCCTATGTCCGTCTCCTGGCTCTAAGCTACCTCCTCACCAATTTTCAGCCATATCGGTAAAGCCGTTATTGAGTTATAAATAGTGTAACTAACACGACTTTCTTTTATATGTATAGATTGCTATTTCTGTTTTATCAAAGATAATGACAGGGATTTTGGGCTCAGAAACCCAAAGTAATTCCTCTGAAATAGAAACAGTTTTTGTGCAGATATTTTGACAGTAGACCACGCTATGATACTTATGTAATACGAATTGAATGAATATATGACTATTATATATTTAGGCTACTTAAAGTCACAATGAAATAAAAGAAAATATCCGCCAAATCATAGGATAAAATTTTATTACATCAAGAATTTAAAAATATTAATTAAATAAATATTATTACTCTTCAAATCATTAATTTAGATGGAAAATAATCTTCGTTATAATAATTTGTAAGCTCGTTATTCAGCGCACAATTAATAACATAAATATTTTTTTTTGTTGAATGGATTTTTTTTAACCTCAAAGTGGCCAGTGTGTGGAACGATACGTAATTATAAAGATGCGTGTGAGCATCATCAGACCATGAGATAATTGTAGCTATCCACTTGTGTAATTCCTTGTAACTACTAGGTAAATATAACATACCGAACACTTTTAATAACAGAAGCCGGCAAACTAGTAAAACTTAAGTTTCCTAATTGTGTCGAATAATAATAACAACTACGTATAAATAATATTAAGATCAACCGAAACCGACGTGCCTGTATGCGTAGATGTATAAATATTTTTTTAAAAAGGTGGCAAACGAGCATGCGGCCATCTGAATTCCTCGAAATGGTGAAGCGCTGCCCATAGACATCCGAAATTGCAGATGCGTTGCCTTTAACCAACGAAGAAGGAGACGCACAGAAAGAGAATATTTCCCCTTCCTATGCGTGCTATCCTCCATCAAATCCCTTTCCCTTTCCATCCTTTTCCAATAAGAACAGAGTGCTAAGGGAAAGACTACTGCCCCAATCCGGTAAAAATAAAGAAGTAACAGCCCGAGCTGAGGCTCCTGAGGGAGCCCTTGAGTCTTGTTACTCTTAAACGAGGTTCAGACTAAGCGCCATCTCCGCCCGGTCACCTCAAGCTATAAATGCCTCTTCAAGGTAAATAATGTCTACTCAGTCACAACAAAAAAAAGAAAGATAACATTAATTAGGCCTCCAGTATAGAAGTGAGATGTGTTACGACCGCGCCAAATGGAAGTCCGTGGTCTCTGCCTACCCCTTTGAATTACAGACGTGAGTTATGTTATTGTGGAAGGAAATAATAAGCAAAGAGAATTTTCTCCATCTAACATACTTTTTAAGGTTATGTTTAATATCAGTTGTTATTTAGGTTATTATTTTTCTGTTTTAAATATATAATGGAATAATTTCCATTACAGAGTATGTATCACCATAATAACACAAGTGATCGTATATTTCACACTAATGATGGTTCTCAGACTAGTTTTCTCGAATGTTAGATAAGGCGAATGGAAAATTGTGATCTTAATCGTCCGGAAGTAATTAAATGAGAATTAACTATGCATTAAGAACATGATAATTGTACAGATGTAATGTAGCGTTAAAAAGGAAAATAACAACATTAAACATATTTCCAGTAACACATTTAAATTGTATGTACCGCTGATGCTTAATTGATGCAGCTGTCAACCCATCCTGCACGCTTAATAATACGATAAATACATCTTGTAAATATGCAGTACTAGTTATCGTGCGCGACTCCATCCGCGTGTATTTAAAAAAAACACAATTATTGTGCCTATGTGTTCTTCCAGACTATGTTCTACATCTATACCAAGTTACAGCGAGATCCATTTAGCCGTTTATATGGGATAAAGAAAAGGACTGTTGTAAAGGTTTCCCGGCAATTATTCGAATTTTTCCACCTTTTAAACCTTCCCTAGAGCTCCACGAACATTTCAAGATCAAGATAAGATAAATCCGTTCAGTCGTACTCGAGTTTTAGCGCGACTAACGAACAGTAATTATTTTTTTATCTATATAAAAATATATTTAAATTGATCGTATTTAAATAATAGATTGGCTTAGAAGGAAATATTTTATATTAATTAAATGCATGTGCTATATACGTAGTTAAAACTTGCTGCTCAAAGCTTTTAGACAATGTATGTCTGAGAAATTTAATCAGTAATTTTGAGGTTAAAATGTGAAACATAGTTTTGTACTTTGGTGTGCTAATGAAAATTATTTGCACATTTAAATATCTAGAGTTTTTGAATAGTGTAGTGTGAAACTCGTAGATTTATTGACCCTCGTTTGTTAGAGTAATAAAAAATGCTTGGATACAAATATGTGGGTCATGAGGACACCGATATATTAAAGTCAAAAAGCAAACACGGAAATTGTTCGACGTAATGTACGAAATTTCTCATAAACGTTTTGTGATAACTGTTTTGTCACTATGTATCCGTGAATCTACTTATATTAATACTTATATGTATAAATAAAAGTGTCTTGTTAATGAAGACACAGTATGAGAAACAAAAACATGTTTTACGTGAATGTATTGGCAGTGCAAACACATATCTACATCAACTTTCTTAATACATCGCCGCAAAAATTATCTCATTTGAGTTTAATTTCGTATGTCGATTTGAAATATTGTTGCCAATCTTTGCGTAACCACTGATCAATTTTATTGTTTGCACAGATTAAATAAATGGACATAGATAAAATCTTGGAATTCTTTTGTTTTTGTCTATACAACCGTTATACGGGCTTATTAAATTAAAGAATTCGAAATTAGATTACGCATAACGGATTTCTTATGGCAACGTTCTAATTTTTTTGTTTTAAATTACAGTTATTTATTCAACTTTTTTTACGATGAAATAATCCAATTAAACTTCAAAGGTTGTCTGGTAACGTTGGGTGAAATTGAAGCATTTATAATAATGATAAACATTAGGCCCGTTGCCACTAAAAAGCTTTCTCATCATTAATTATTCAAATAACTATTATAAATACGATAATAATGTTTAAATAAATATTTTATTATCACAAATTTCTCCTCTGAGTACTCTCGTGAAAAGGACCTGTCTCAAGATTTATAATATAATAACTGCCGCCCGCGACTCCGTCCGCAGAATAAAAAATAATAATAAGTAGCCTATGTGTTTTTTCAGACTATGTTCTACGTCCATGCCAAATTGCATCGTGATCTGTTGAGCCGCAATGGAGGTACCCTCAAACAAACATCCATCCATCTATACTACCATCAAAAAGTTTCGCATTTATAATATTAATGAGATGGTATGTATTTATTTATGTTTACCTTGTCCGCATCGTAGTAGGTGAGCGGGAGTTGATAGGTGGAACAGTTGTCCTTGGAGTAGCCACTGCTGATGATGGACTACTGATCATCAACTCTCCATCATCTGCGAACCTGGAAACGAGGTTACATTCCAAAAAATATTACAATGTAATTAAAAAAAACTACACCATTTTTATGACAAAATTTGTCTTGTTGTTGACCAACACGAATTAAAAAGTATATTATACTTAAAAAAAACATCTTATTATCATGCTAATAATAATGATAAGATTAAAACAGAAGAATAATTTTGAGAGGTATTCAAATTACGTAAGACACAAAAATACACTTTGGAAGCGATTTGCGAATCTGTGTTTAATAAAAAAAAAGATGAAGACCATCTCAAGATATCGAATGCAAACACGTATGGTTAGGTTTTTTATTAAAATAAAATAAAATGGGTATAACCACTTAAAAAATATTCCAACCAGTTCATATCAGATCCAGAGTCGTTAAACGGGTTGTTAATAAACGTTAAATCAAAAATTAACTGTTACTTTAAAATAACGTAACCGTTAACAACTAGTTATTTAATAGTGTAACGTTAATCCATTGCTATTTGATTACACAATTACATGTCTGAGAACAATGTGCAGTATCAAGCGTAACAATACGTTTCCACTAGCGTGACACTCATAACGAACATATTCACATCCTTCTCATTATCTTTGAAAAAATTGAGATGGTAAAATCATGTTTTTGTATGCGTGTAACAGTGGAAATCCACGCTAATTGTAGATTATTCCCACAGTCTTTATATTGTGTGTTATTGACATATTTCGTATAGCCTTTTAAAAGTTAGTTTTTCTTTCTTTAAACGAAGATCGGGTGGAATTAAAAAGAGTAGTCGCCCTATTTCTATTCTAAACTTCACACAGATAAAAAAACCTATAAATCCATCCAAACTTTTAATTTTTTTTCATATCATATGGCGACAAACTCGCGAGTAGCCACCTGAAATCGCTGAAATAGCGAAGCGACCGTTGCCCATAGACATACGCAACTGCATATGCGTTGTTAACCTTTAATCGACGGAGGAGAGGATGCACGGAAAAAAATATTTTCCCTTTCCATGCATCCTCTCATTCGGAAAGTCCTCTTCCACTTCCCATCCTTTCCTTATAAGAAAAAGGGTGGGAAGGGAAAGAGGACTAAATTAGGCCTCATTTAGTATGAGGCCTCCGGTACGCACACTCATCAGACGAAACGTGGGATTGCTTCCACTTTACGCCTATCTTCTGTGTGGTCGTGGTATTTCACCGGGCGAGCCGGGCCAATTCGTGTGAAGATGTTAAAGCGGGCACTAACACTGTCAAAAGATTATAGTAACTGAAAAATTAGATTATAGTAACTTTAACAAAGTCTAACTTTCGATCAAATTATGTTAGATTTAAGATACGTATATCGAATTTACTATAAAAATTAAATTGAGATAAGATTATCGAAGTCAATTAAAATTAAGCAACTATTTTTATAAGTCTATTTCACAAAAAAATCGTGTTTAACGGAAATTAACATTAATTGATATTTATTACAATGCCACACGCGATGTTACAGCTATACCTAACTGATGTTATAAACAAATTCTTTAATTTAATTATACTTTTCAAAGTGAGCAGGAGTTAGGGTAATTGGGCAATCGTCCATCACACCATACGTCCCCACTGAGGTGCTCGGAGACTACTCTAAGTTAAGGGTGACTTGGCCAGTCAACCACGCTGGCCAAATGACGTTGGTTGACTTTACACATATCTTTGAATTTCCTCACGATATTTTCCTTCACCGTAAGAACGTCGGATAAATGTCGTGTAAATTGGAAATCGAAAAACACATTGGTACATGGTGGGATTCGAACCCAGGACTTGCAGATTACAAGTCAAGTGTTGAAACCTCTGAGCCACCGACGCTAAGGTTATTGAGTTAATTTTACCCAAAAGTAATTGTAATTCAAACACAATATAAGTACACAGAAGCATGCTGGAAACATCGATATTGAAAACAATAAAAATATTATAAAACTAGTTTTATTTATCATGTAATTAAAAATATTTAAAGTTGTTTTAACAAATCTCCGCAGTAAACATCGATGTTTTTTTTAAATCAAGTTTATTTGCGTACTTTAAAGCGATTTGGGTAATTCCATAAGAAGACTTGTAATGTTTTTATTTGCAAAATATACCTTAATAGCTTTTAATAATAGCAATTACTATTTTTTTTTGGATTATCGTGCTTGTTATATGCTCTTATTTGGTTAACAATTAATTGTGGCATTTCTTGTATTTTAACGAACTCGTCGTAACGAATCTGGATGTTTTTCCTGTTAACATTTGGTGTCAAAATTAAACAAATTATCTTATAAATAAATATAGACCGACAACCTGACGTTATGTTGCCCGATCACACTTAATTATTATGGTGCTTTAACGCACTTCTGACAATGTCAAAAAAATGTCAGAAGATCCTTGTACTGTAGTTGTCATGTCCAGTTTTTTCTTTTAAGTCATTTCCTATGTTTAGCTTGAGCTGAATTGTCTAATCAACTATTATGATGATACAAAAAATCAGAATCGTTTTTCAGTCTTAATACTTTATATGTGAGTACAAAATGTTTAGTCCATTCCAATGTTTTTTACATAACACTTTTACGAATTGCCTGTTTTTATTATCTGTACCCAATAAAAGAAAAATTTTTGTTACCTGTTAAGTAGTAAAGGTCTGGGTGGTGTAGATATGGTTGGTTTTTGTGGTTGTTGGGGCGATGGTGATATAGTAGTCGGGTTGGTGAGTGGCCGTGATGTTGAGGATCCGGTTGACAATACAGACAGCAGATTAGGCTGCGGCACAGGCTGTGCTGGGGGTTGTGGAGAACTTGGATTATCACCTGTAAAATAATTTGATACAATACTTTCAGTGTTAAAAAGATATGCTGACATTGATAATGGCCACATGAATAAATTTAACCATAGTTATCCACTGCCGCTGTCGTGTCACTTGTTAAGAGAATAAACGACAATATTTACAAGTGTCACAGTAGTGGAATTCCACGTTAAATGAGAACTTTAAAACATAAACATTCTTAATGATAACAAATTGAACTTGACAATTGAAGGTCCGTACTATTGACGGTCAAGGCGAGAGCAATAAAATCACAATTGAAACGACCTCGCGATGCTCAATATTTTCTTTCTATCCTCAATTCTTTAATTGTTTCGTCACGTCCACATTTCTATTTACAGACATGTAACAAAGTCACCTCGGAAGTTAAAAATGCCTACGAGGTCATACTTTAATTAAACGAACATATTAATCTTTACAATGGAATGTAATCTTTTCCTTCCTCCAATTTTAGGTTATGTAAGATGCAAGTTTTTGAAAAAAAGTCTAGACGCCTGGAAGATTATAAAACACTGCGTTTATTCTATATATCTAAATCGTAACTTTAGCATTATAACCATTCTTACATTCACCGTAGGTCTTATTAATTTAATGTAAAACGAATCATCGTCATCAATAAATGGGATTTGTTCTTATTCCACTTCATGTGTGGCAATAAAAAACAAATATAAAAAACTTACTATTTCCAGATATGGTATTAAATTGTTCATTTGCTAAAAACACTTCGAAGTATCTTGTGAAGTCTCCAGTTGGGTCCCATTTCGATGCCAGTTTAGCCCACTCGTCAGGATATTCGCTTTTAAGTCTTTTAATAATCTTCACTGCTGTTCTCTTCTGCCTTTCTGTGCAGCGGACACATTTCGTTCTTAATGCTTCTGGAAGTAACCCTGTTGGAGAAAAACTAGAATTATTTTTTAGCATTGAGATGTTGGCAGTGTCTTAACCTAATTTGTCAAAGCTAGATCTTTATAATATCATAAATGTGAAAGTTTAGATCGATGGATGTTTGTTTGAAGGTATCTCCGGAACGACTCGATGGATGTTTTTGAAATTTCGCACAGATGTCGAACATAGTCTGGAAGAATACATAGGCAACTTATTAAGTTTTTTTATCGAGCGCGGATAGAGTCGGGGGCGACAACTAGTGAATCATAAATAGATGAAAACTAAACTTTATGGTTACAAGATTAATGAGCAAGATAAATAAAACATCTTTTAGTAGAATGCAATAAAGTTCCTATTTTACTCTGCTAGTATTATAATGTAAAAATAATTTCTACCATTAAGATGAATTGTCTCTAAAGCAAAACTTTGAAATATCAAATATCAACGCTTTTAGTAAAAAAGGAAGCATAAAAGGAAACAATATTGTTTGTTGGTTGCGCGCTTTGGTCGGTTGGGTTCAATCATAAAATATAATGACTTTAATGGCGAGTAATAAATTTATAATTAGTTTCATGAAGGAGGATTAGAATTATAAATTTATTTTTTTAACAATGAGGATGTCGGCCTGCATAAAAATATTTATAAAATATTTTCGGCAGTATTGGAGACTTTAAGACACATAAAGTCTAGTCTTATTGTTCTATACTATTGCATTGCCCCCGCAAATCCCCCTTTCAAGTCAAGGATAAGAATCACCCTATCATCGTATTTGTATTTCGAGACTTACAATTCTTAATTCCTCAACTTATAAGTAAATTACCTGCTAGGCGGTCACATAAAATACGTTTAAAATTTGATGTGACCACCTTGGCCTTTCTACAGATTAAAAAATAAAATAGGTCATAAACAGTACACTCGTGTTACAGGGACACCATTAGATACGTAGGATGATTTTTTTGTTTTGTTTATTAAGACCTTTAAGTAATTTGTGTAAATAATCGTTTGGGATTTACGATTATTTTGTTCTTACAAAAAAGCTATGATTGATTATTACTGCTTTTTATTTTATGATCTTATATTTTATTAGGATCATGTTAAAATTATGCCTTAAATGCTAAACAATACTGCCTTGTTACAAACAAAAAAAGAAAAATACTGAATAACAATTCGGTTTCCCGTGGGCTTTATTCATGGTCTACCACTGTGTTTTAGTGATTTAAATGTTAATTATATTCCTTAACCAAAAGAAGTCTTCCACTATCCAAATTTGGAAAAGAAATAATACATCATCTAGTCTTTATCTAGTCAATAATTTAAAATGCAAGCAGATTAATGGAAATTACCTAATAAGTTTTAATGTGAACTTTGAAATAATTTAGATAGCTCAATCAGAAAAATCTTGACCTAAAAAATTCTAACAATCATATTAGTCAGGTGTTGTAAATAATCGGAACAGATTATCGAATAGTTGTACATTACCATAGAGTAGACCACGATGACATAGAGTAGACATTTTATAGCTTATGACTCTAAAGTCGTGCTATTTCATTTTGTAACAAAGGGCCTTAAAATCTGAGGTAAACCATCCAATTTCTTGCATTACATTTATATATATTTTTATTTTTAGTACAAGGTTTTATGGCTACCATAATAAGTTATTTCTATAGTCATAACTGAATGAGATCTTATTGCGATTTTGCGCTGTCAAAAACATTATTTGTTTTTTTTTTTGCTTTTTCTAACAGAATAACTTGTCGTATACGAGACATATACATATTAAAAAACAAACGTCTTAAAAAGTCGCAACGATCTTGAACTTTTGTCCTTAACATTTTATTGTTACTTACAAACTTTTTTGTCATAATTCAAAGATGCTACATAAAAACAGCAGGCGTGTGATGAATATGTAACGACTTTACTGAAGGATTGTGTTTTGCAAACTAAAATTCATATCAACATTATTATTTTTTTTAAACTCTGCAAAGGTCACCTTACTTATATGTTTATAAAATATGGGGACTAAGCTCTTTTTGGTCAATTACTTAATTTTGATAAAAAATAATAAATTGACTTCACCAATTAATAGAGGACATTTGGTAATACCGAAAAAAAATTGCACTGCTGTCACATCGCGCCTTTTGTCACTAATTTCGAGCCTATGGAAGCTACGCTGTCTTACGACTTAAATTTTTATTCATCTTTAGTTTTCGGCATTAACAAATAACCTAATTAGACGAGTCAATTTATTTTTTATTTTTTGTACATCCATCAGAATCAACGAAAAAATTAATTACAGGTAGTCTAAAAACGGTAATTAACTTAATTACAGGCTTAAAGCAATAACAAAATCATCTAATTAAAATTTAATACTTAACTAAAAATTTGTTACTTTACTTCTACAAAATTATCTATATATAAAAGAAAGTCGTGTTAGTTACACTATTTATAACTGAAGAACGGCTTTGCCTATATGGCTGAAAATTGGTGAGGAGGTAGCTTAGAGCCAGGAGACGGACATAGGATACTATTTATTCATTTTTTTCGTATTTATGTCTTTTTATTTAACTTACTAATATTATAAATGCGTATGTTTTGATGTATGTAATATGGATGGATGGATGGGTGTTTAAAGACATCTCTAGAACGGCTGAACGGGTTTCGATTAAAATTTGGCACACGTATAGAACATAGTTTGAAAGAACACATAGGCTACACTAATTAAGTTTTTTTTATGTATCCACGCAGAGTCGCGGGCGACAGCCAGTTTTAAATAAAATATAGGAACATAATAATGCTTTACATGACTTTTTACTGGCAAATACCTATCGTATGAAGAAATAATAAGATGATTTAGATTATAACATTCCCATCAATCATGCACACGCGTTGTCAGACATGCGCAAAAAGTAGTCGAGAAGGCATCTGCTAAAACCGGGCCAGGCGAGTTTTACGAAATTTTCCAATATACATGTGTGAATCGTAATATAACATGCAATTTCCGCTGGTTTTTTTGAAAAAAGAAGTTAAAAAGTTCAAAGAGCAAATAAGGAGGAATGAATAAAAACACACATTCGTATGACCAAAGATGCGAGAGAGAGACAGAGATTTCATTGGCAAGGTCTTACATCTCTTTCTTTTATTTAATTGTCATTTTACGGAACGGGCGGAATGAATTGCCCATAATATTGAATTCTTAATTGTATGTCTAATTGAAGATTGTAAAAAGTATTATATTATACTTGGTTTATTTTATAGATTACTTATTTTTTTCATAGTTATTATACGTCTCTTAATGCGGTCTAAGTAGTTAATTTAAATATGAACGTTTTAATACCAATATGTGCCACGATATAATGTTTTTAAGCCGTGATACAAGTTTTTTTTTAATCCCGGTGATTATGCAAAGTGAGCGATATTTTTACAGCAGATACTTAGTATGAGTTTATTATTATTCTTGTGATGAGTTTTTACACACGAGATGAATTATAACAATTTCCGTACACCGACAACAAAGAACTGTTTTGTTAAGCTAATGATTTAATTTCATTTGTATAAGAAATAAAGGCTTAAATTACTCTAAATTTTACGGCAAGATATTTAATAAAGGATGATGAATCATCATCATCATCAGCCTGATATCACCTTCCACATAGATTGCAACATTACCCGGTCCTATGGCGCCGGCATCGAGCATCCTGCAACCTTGAACAGTTCATCGGCCTATCTTGCGGGATGTATACCCACGCCGCGTCGACCCGTCCGTGGACGCCATTCCAGGACTTTCCATTAAGGCAAAGTAAATGTAAAATGTTATTTATCAACTTGTTCTTTGCAGTACGATTTAACTTTCTATTAGATGTTTAAATAAATCAATAAAGTTCTTATAAATATTTATAAATAGATAAGTGAATCTTTCCGGGTACCGATCCTTTGAAATTCTAACAAAGTAATCGTTTCACACAATGAATCACTTTATTCGTAGTAAATATAACTTCATTGCGACTCCTAATGAATAATAAATAGTGTTTACTACGCGTATAAAAAATAAATAGAACTAGCTGTCTCCCGCGTCTCTATGCAGCCGTGCCGGAGTTTACCTTCTAACAAACATCCATCTATCCATTCATTCAAACTTTCGTCAAGGTGTCTAGTTGAAGCTCGCGACTCCGTCCGCACGGAATAAAAATAACTTAATTAGTAGCCTATGTGTTCTTTCAGGCTATGTTCTACATCTATACCCAATTTCGGCGAGATCCATTGAGCCACTCTCCAGATACCTTCAAACAAACATCCATCCATTCATCAAAACATCCGCATTTATAATATTAGTAAGATGTAAGATGAATAAGAAAAAAATCAATGATAGTTTATTATTTAATAGACAGAATAGAATTTCTACAGTTTTAAATTTGTTTTCTGCGACATGTAAAAATACATTTTTATAAAGTTTCTTTTTGAACCATTGGGTTTTTATACGAATGTTTTTCTTAGGTAACTGACCTTGTAACTTACAATAATGTCCGTGTAACTTTTATTATCAAGCTAAATATGACAATTGATCACGGATTTACGTGCAACGCATTACTTCATATAATTTTCAACGTAATCGAAAATTTGCATAGTTTTTGTGATTTTAATTTAACTAAATAAATTGTTTGGATGGATTAATGTTTGTTTGAAGGTATGTATAAAACGGCTGCATTGATCGCGATGAAATTTGGCATTGATATAGAACATAGTCTGGAAGGACACTTAGACATTACGTTTATTTTTAATTCCGCACGATCGAAGCTGCCAGCGACAGCAAGTCCCCTATACATTCCACTGTCAAATCCATGACTACTCGAGTTATTACAGAAGTTTGTGTAGTTGTTTTACGTAATTATTGTGTGAATGTTTAACAGAATAGATCTATCGCACTTGCGTTCACAGTCAAGGCTGTATGACACAATAGTAGCTTTGTTTATTGTCCTACTGTCGTGCGATTAAATAAATTGGATGC